GCTTGTACTTCCCACCCTCTAGTTTTGCCCTGCGCAAAATGAATGACATGACCTAGTTGGGAGTGCCTCGTCGTAAACAAGAAATAACGAAGCCGGGACAGCAGCAACACTAAATGTTGAAAACATGTTGCTACGCGTTGTCGAAAACACTGCTGTAATATAATTACGTAACCGCTCACCGCGAATCCGTTTTGTTCCCTGTGCGTTTTTCTTTTGTGTCAGGAACGACAAGAACACACCGTGGGAGCTGCCGTGTGGGACCAACACTCAGGACTCCCTAGAGGAGCCCAACGACGCCATGTGGTTCGAGTCGGATATGTACAAGCGGGACAAGGCTAGATCGGACAAGGCAGACGCTGAGGTTGCGGCTTTCCTCTCTCGGGGGGCGGCGGGGAGCGTCGACGCCGCCGGCTCCCCAGCCGGCTCCCCCGCTACCGGGGCGGGCACCGGGGAGAGCGTTGACAGAGCAGGGAGTCCACCTGCAGGTCAGTGACCGGCGGCGCAAGCGGCGTTGGCTGAGACGGAGGTCCGCCAGGAACCGGGAGGTACGCCGATGTCGTTGGCCGCCGCCGCCAACATCGGCCGGGAGCAGGAGCGAGAGCAGGATAAGGGCGGGGACGAGGGCGAGCGCGAGGGCGAGGAGGTGCCTGAGTGGTGGGTCTTCCCCTTCCTGCTTCTCACAGCGGCGTACAGCCCGTGGAGCGGTCGGGCCCCGTCGGAGTGGAAGCACCTCGACTCTTCGGACGGGCCGTCTATAAAGCGGAAGGGCGGGGACGTCACCGTGGACTCTGAAAACCCCGTGTGCAGCCCCGCGGTGATGTCTCGCCTCAACCCCAACGGCGACGCTTTGAGCCGCCGCCAACACTTCGCCGCAATCAAGCGAGAGAAGGAGCAGGAGAGGAAAAAAGCGGCCGACAAGAGACTTCAAGAAGCTTGGAAGGAAGCCCTTGAGACGAAGAAGAAGGGTCTGGCCGCCTTAGAGGCTGCGAGCACACACATCGAGACCATAGGCGCGAACATGAAGAGGATGGTCGAGCTCAAGGAGGCGGAGGCTGTGGGCATCAAGCGTAAGAACAGGATCAAGGTTCTCGAGAAAAAAGTTATGCTGCGTCTGGGGGACGAGACAGAGAACCGGGCGGAGCTCGAGTTCTTGCTAAACGAGTTTAGTTATCCCATTACGGTTGTATTGCGTGTTGGCATGTGATCGTTGTTCAAAGAAAGGCGGTTGTGTGTTCANAAGAACAGGATCAAGGTTCTCGAGAAAAAAGTTATGCTGCGTCTGGGGGACGAGACAGAGAACCGGGCGGAGCTCGAGTTCTTGCTAAACGAGTTTTTGTCATCCCATTACAGTTGTCTTGCGTGTTGGCATGTGATCGTTGTTCAAAGAAAGGCGGTTGTGTGTTCATCATCTCGGTGTTTGTTTGAAACAACAGGCGCAATAGAATACCAACTCTTTCGCACGTGACCAACATGCAGGGAGGGGAAAGGGTGGGGGGGGGGGTTCAATTAAGACCATGTCTAAAAGAATAGAGGACTTATCGTCGTTTCACCAGGTCGCTCATGTGTTTATCTTCAAGTTTGAAAGGTTGATCTGAATGCATAAACACGGCACTAACTTGTTGTGGGGGGGTACCGCTTATGGGCATGGACTGCCAGGGAGGAGACAACATGGGTCTAAGGTTTGAGAGGATCAACCGAGTCGAAAGGCCGAGTGTGAGAGGGGGGTGCATCGTGACACGTAAAAGCTGGCCGGGAGATACACTTTTTTGAGAGAGGGCATGGCCTTTTCGAGGTTGTGCATACGCAGCAGTATTTGCATAATTACTACTGGAATAACAAGTGTTGTACTGCTGATTCGAAGGGCGAAGGCTACTTGTCTGGTGGTTCATACGTGGGTCTACCATTTGGGAACATCAGGCGCGTACGGTGTACCCTTTCCACGCCATGTTTGTGCTTCCGGATGCCACAGGCAGTTCCAATATCAAATTTCAGTGTCAGACTCCATTTGGTTGAAAGCGAATTGTTCAATCTTTCTGCCGCGAGCACAACGATCCGAGGAGCGCCGCTCCCCGTCACAATCCACTGTTTCATCAGCACGATCAAAAGCAAATCTCGGAAAACTACCCCAAATGTTCCAAAGCATGAAGGGCAGAATTATGGACAGAAAACCGAACGAAAAGCTGTTTGATAATAAGAGCGCCTAAATCTACATGGAGGACAAAACACAGTGCAACGACTGCCTGAACGAAAAACAGCAAGTCGGGAACCTTCGGGGATATTGGGCTGTAGTTCGACATAGAACAAGAACGAAAGTATCGCGCGGCAACCTACCCCCATGAGAACCAACTGCTGTGTTGGAAAAAAAGTCCGACTACGTGACTGCTGTGCGCGACAGCAAAATGATCGTCAAACGAAGCTGAGGGACGCAGGTGGCGTGGTGGGTGTCCCCAACCCAAAATCAAACACCACGCGGGAGCTAACGCTTACCCTTACCCTGATACCGCTGGAGCTCGGGACAAAGAACGTCTTCAGAACACCAAAAGGAGATCGCCACATGCCGCTAATACTTGTGACAGATGCAATCACGCCCTCACCATATCAGACGCACGACAACAAAAAACACACAACACAGAGATATATTATTGGGTTCGCCCATACACCCCAAAAAAAAACAAAACAACTCCCCCCCCCATACCTTACCGACATGTACCACGTATATGCTCAATCTCCGCCCTCTTAAACCACAAAGTCTCCTTCTCCTCCCACGCGCACGTGAAGTGCGCGATGAGCTTCTTGCGAGACTCTTCGAACCTGGGAGTCGGAGTCTCGCTTTCCTCGCCCACGTCCATGGCCGCCGCCACTGTCGTCGCCTCCCCCAACCTCCCTCCCGACCCCACCCAATCGGCGTCCTCCTCCATCTCGTCGAGGCGGTTGAAGCTGTGGAGCATGTTGTGGAGGATGCACGCGGTGAACCACGCGTTGTCGTGTCGAGAACAAGATGTCACCACTGAAAAGCATCCAGCGCCCCTTGACTCTGCCGAAGCAGCACTCGATGTCCTTACGCATGCTCTCCAACCGCCTGCTCCAATTGTGCTCCTCGACGGTGTTGTGCGTCTTGATCGGTGGGATCAGAAGCGGGATCTGTGAGATGGCAGACCGAAAATCTCTATCGGGTGTTGGTTTAATGCGAACTTGTGTCGAAAAAACGTGATCTGTCTCCAAGGACTGCGCAAAGGGGCAAGGCGTGCCAACAAATAATTCCTTGACAACTAAAAAAATATAGATTGTGCTCCCACCCCCTCCCCAAGCCAAAAACAACAAACAGCTAGGATGGACGGGAATGCAAAGCACGAAGTGGTACGGGTCTACGTACTAAGTAGAGTACGGCAACATTCTTGTCTGGCGGGTGTGAACAAATCCCGGAGGGGAATAATACATACGGGTTCCCCACCATGAACGGAGCAATAGAAAATGCAAGGACCGAACGCGACGGGGTTTTCGCCAGAGGTTTTCGCACTTACAAATATGATGCTTCTGTGGGCGGGGGTATGTCAACAATGTACGGGCCAGGCTAGTCACGCCCATCCACACCAACAACAAAAAAGTGGTCAAAAACCAACAACCGAAACTAACCTTCGGGTACCCCCCGTCCACGATGATCCATGCCCCTGTGTACTCCGTCTCCGTGCCGTCGGCGTTGTAGAGCTTGAACTTGTAGCTCTTCCACGGGTCCTCATCTCGTACTCGCCAGATGGACTTGTCCCGTGCGATGACCTTCTTGTCGTTCTCGGCTCCCGGGTAAGTCTTGGTTGCCGCGATGATGCGGCCAGAATGGTCGCACGTGCACTCCACCACCAGCGACGTGTAGCCCTCCTTGCCGGTGTGGGTGTTCTTCTCGGAGAACGGGCAGCCCGGCCAACAGAAGTGGGTGCAGTCCGTAGATCACCTCGCCCCCGGGTAACCACACTTGCGGTAGATCTCCTCGACCTTCTTGAATTCATCCCCGCCCGGGAGTTTCACCCAAGTGTCCCAGAGGCCCTCGGAAAACTTCTCGCAGAAATGGTGGAAAGAAGTCTCTGCGGTCGTGCNCACCTTCCTTGCCGGTGTGGGTGTTCTTCTCGGAGAACGGGCAGCCCGGCCAACAGAAGTGGGTGCAGTCCGTAGATCACCTCGCCCCCGGGTAACCACACTTGCGGTAGATCTCCTCGACCTTCTTGAATTCATCCCCGCCCGGGAGTTTCACCCAAGTGTCCCAGAGGCCCTCGGAAAACTTCTCGCAGAAATGGTGGAAAGAATCTCCGCGGTCGTGCGGCTCATCAGAGAGAAGGAAGCGACGTCCTGGAAGCAGCATCTCGACGCCAACACCTTCAAAGTACCCAGCACCTATGAATGATGCAGCCGTGCAGGGGGCGCACACAACGGCGGGCGGCGGCGACGGCGGGGGGGGGTTGTAAGCTGTCATGCGAAGGGAATGCATACTCTTTTACCAAGCTGTGGCTGGCTCGAATGTATACTCTTGTATCATCGAGAGAGTTGCAGAGCTTCGCGGGAGACGACGAGTGGGCAAGTACAGCAGTAGGGGTGTGCTGGTGTGTTGAGGATTTTTTGCAGCAGAGTGCGTGCCATTTTGACGGTCTTGGCTTGCTGCTGCAGCTCCGCGCACGGGTGTTACCTCGAGGGCGTCACACCCCTGCCATGCGAAGGGAATGCATACTCTTCTACCAAGCTGTGGCTCGCTCATGGAACGAACATAAAGTGCAATCCCTCGCACATCCATCGGCATTGTTGAATGTATACTGCTGCTTCCATCATACTTGCACGGGCTACTTTCGAGAGTGTCGACACCGAGTGTGACACCTCGGCCAGCAGCGCCGTGCAGACGTAGTTGGAGAGGGAGTGCGCTTCTTTATCATTTACAGCATCTGGTCAAATGTTGAAACATAGTGTCCTCTCTACGGTACACACACGACGCGGTTCATTTGTGCACGCAGCAGCAGTGTACGACAGAGTTGCAGAGCATAGCGGAGACGACGAGCGGGCAAGCACAGCAGAGTACGTACCCATTTTGCGATCTTTGCTTACTGCTCAACTCCGCGCACGTGTGCTACTTCGANTTACAGCATCTGGTCAAATGTTGAAACATAGTGTCCTCTCTACGGTACACACACGACGCGGTTCATTTGTGCACGCAGCAGCAGTGTACGACAGAGTTGCAGAGCATAGCGGAGACGACGAGCGGGCAAGCACAGCAGAGTACGTACCCATTTTGCGATCTTTGCTTACTGCTCAACTCCGCGCACGTGTGCTACTTCGAGGGCGTGCTACTTCGAGGTTGTAACACCCCGTGAGCTTAGGTACAAGTTCAGCAATATGGATGTCACTACCACACTCGATGCGCGGTGGGACTCGTAGAAGATCAACTGCACGACAGCCTGGCGAGCGGACACGACATTATTTCGGGCCCGCACCAGCGTACAAGACAGGATCACGGCTTCCAAGCAACGGCCGTTCTACCGGAGCACGCCCGATTCAACTTTTACGAAAACAAAGCGGATCAGCGGGCGTTAGACGCGCGGATCGAAACAATCNTTGTAACACCCCGTGAGCTTAGGTACAAGTTCAGCAATATGGATGTCACTACCACACTCGATGCGCGGTGGGACTCGTAGAAGATCAACTGCACGACGCCCTGGCGAGCGGACACGACATTATTTCGTGCCCGCACCAGCGTACAAGACAGGATCACGGCTTCCAAGCAACGGTCGTTCTACCGGAGCACGCCCGATTCAACTTTTACGAAAACGAAGCGGATCAGCGGGCGTTAGACGCGCGGATCGAAACAATCAGGGGCCAGCTGCGAGACTTCGGGCCGCGCATGCCGGTTCGCGTCGGAACGAGGAGACAACCCACAGAATCGCCGGCCCCGTCCACATACGTCTACACACTTTCTCCTCCTCCTTCGCCCGGCCCGTCGCCACCTGCTCCAACTACAACGCCTTCTCCGCGAGGGGCGACGGACGGGGTCTGCGTCGTATGCCATCAGAACGGGGCTTGGCAACGCCCGCTTGTCACCGCGCCGTGCTCATGCAGGGTACATCTTACGTGCGCGATGACCTTCGTGGAGAACCACCTGCTCTCTACCGCGCCGTCGGACAGCTCTAGGATGGTGGCGTGCCCGAATCCAGCCATGCACGATTCGAGGCGCGACGTCTTTTGGCCCCGCCTCCTGGAGATAGTAGCCATCACGATCCCGGCATGGAGTCTCGCTGATGGNGCGACGTCTTTTGGCCCCGCCTCCTAGAGATTGTAGCCATCACGATCCCGGCACGGAGTCTCGCTGATGGAGAGCGGGAAACCTTGCAGGATAGGGTTGTAGCANGGCTCTACGATGGTGGCGTGCCCGAATCCAGCCATGCACGATTCGAGGCGCGACGTCTTTTGGCCCCGCCTCCTGGAGATAGTAGCCATCACGATCCCGGCATGGAGTCTCGCTGATGGGGAGCGGGAAACCTTGCAGGATAGGGTTGTAGCAGCTCGTGAGAGATTGCGCGAGCTTGATCGAGCAGGTGAAACGCGACGTTCCGTCACCGACACACGGCCCAACTCACCGGCGTGAACGGAGGCGGTAGCGCCGGATCGTGTTCGTACTGTGGAGGCCACTTCGGGCCACCACCACAGGCCGAGGGACTCGAGCCTATCCAGATCCCGTGTGGACACCACGGGTCGGTGCACGCCAACTGCCTGTGGGACAGAGCCGACAAAATAGCACACGTACGCGTGGATCCACGACCATGTGCCAACTGCTCGCAGGAAGGATCGAACGGACGACGACCTCCTCATCCCGCGGAACTTGTCCAGAACCACGAACTGCCGCACGCCGGGGGACGGTGGGACTTCCTGAGGGAGGCAGTGTCTTTCGCATCCGAGATAGAGGGACATTTCGAGACATGGTCTATGTCGGAATCCGGCGCGGATCCGGCGGGGCATTTCGACTCCGAGAGTGTGGTGCGTGCCCACGGGAGAAGTGAGACGGCTTCCTGGCTCCTGGTCACTCTGTTCTGCGACGTATTCGGGATGGACAGAAGCGTGTACATATACTTCCCTCGGGGCCGCAACGAGGACAACGGGTGGGACCGGTCGGTCCAGAGATACCGCTCTACATGTTACGCCCATAGAATACGGCCGTATCAGGTGCTATTGCGGCTCCCCCGGGGCAGAATCTACGTTGCGCCACACGTACAGAAATACCTGGTGTACCTGGACCAGGAGTGCGAATCACATCTCACATTCTACACCGTAGCAGTACAGAACGCCCTACGCAACCCCGGCCAACCTCTGCCGCCATTCCCGCGGGTAGGGGGGGTGACTCGGCGCCACGACGACTGGGATGAACACCATGTCCCACCCCACCAAGGAGGCGAAACTAGCAGAAACACAGTGACCCCGACTGTCGTGGCCCCACGAAGGGTGACGGGAGTTGGCATCGACCCGGGCTTTGACATGGGAAGCGGCCCAGAGGAGGAAGAAGGATTGTTGTCCCCGAGAAACCCATCCACAACAGCACACGCCACCAGTCGGACGAGCCCTCAAGTAAGACCCGGGGAAAGAAGCCAATCACTAGGAACGCCAAGGCGGCGCAGACCATCTGCTCGCGAGGGTATCGGATTGTCGGATGACGCTACTACATCGGGTGAACGTCAACGAACTTCCTCGGAACCACCTCAAGGCGGAAACAGGCGACGCCGGCAGGGAAGTGAACCGGATCCAGACGGTGAGTCGCGAGAAAGAGGAACGCCATCACATCCGGCACGAACACNGGCGACGCCGGCAGGGAAGTGAACCGGATCCAGACGGTGAGTCGCGAGGAAGAGGAACGCCATCACATCCGGCACGCGGAGAATCACACCGGGGAAGGGGCTCGGGGGGAACGGGTACCCCGGGTGCCGATGACCGAGCGACCAGAAACGGGGACGCTGGAGGAAGCATGGAACCTGGCGCCACGGGGAACATAAGCGAGCACCCTCGTTCTAGTACCAGATGCCGAGTGTGCTCGGGTCAGGTCATCGAGGGACACCGTGTGGTACAACCCACTTGCGGGCATCCCATCCACGCAAGATGCGTACTATCTAGCCTGGAGGGACGCGGAGAACGCGCGCTGCTCGAGTGTAGGGTGCACGGGTGCGGGGCCCACCACTCTCGGAGGGACAGCCTGGAGGCGGCGATTCAAGCTGACCCGGGGCTGCAGCTACGAGCTGAAAGACTGATAACGGGGTTAAACGACGAACCCCACGGAGCACGTTCGCTGTACATCTGGAACCAAGACAGTCCGGGAATAGGGCCTGCTTTGGACGATTTCAGCATATATGAGCTCACACTCAGGTTCCAAACGGTGAAGAAAGTTCAACCTAGGTTTGCTTCCGACCATGCCCGTCTCCAAACCCACGTGCTCCACCTGGTTAACAAGCAGCTAGCAGAAGGCGGCGGCGCTTCCTCGGCGACCGGGACCCCACTTTCCACTATCCGGGTCATCAAACTTTGGTTCTCCTACCAGGTATTCTGCACTCCTTTGATGGTCGGATAGCTCGAAAAAAACGCTACAAATCGCTCAAAAGAGGGGATATATCGTCCGTTCTCCCTTGGCTGATGGAGTATACCAAGGCGGCGAGTCCAAGGAGCAGGGGACCGGCACGGGAAGGCACACCCGACGACAAGTCCAAAAGGGCGGCGCAGGCATGCCGGCACTCTGGAGGCGTGAAGGACGCAGCAAGAGCCCTCCTAGCCGATCAACCGTCACCGGGGATCGACGAGACATGGGCACGTCTGAAAGCCAACTTTCCGCATGAGGATCCTGTACAAGTGGAGAAGACCATCGCCGAAGCCATAGCTGCAAGCCGCACCGAGGAGAGGAAGGAAGCGCCCCGAGATGGAGGCCAGAACCCGAGTTTGATCCACAAGTACTCCTTCAAGTCATCAACAGCAGAAGCTCTAACTCTGGAGCAGGAAATGACGGGCAACGTTTCTCCCACCTTGAGTCCATCGTCAACACTAAAATCGGTCGGGAAGAGTTCAACAACACGATGTCGTCCCTTTGAAGGAGGCTCATCAACGATCCCAACGCGTTCCCACCGGAGTTCTGGACCCTTTGGAAACAATCCAGTCTAATCGCCCTCGGTGAAAAGTGCCGTCCAGTGTGCATTGGAATGACTTGGAGAAGGCTGATTGCAGCGGGAACGGTCAGGGAGTGGAAACCGAAACTGGAAGAAATATTTCGGGAAGCGGACTAATTCGGAGTGGCGGTAGCTGGAGGAGTTGAACAAGTTGCGATGAGCGCACAACTGGTTCATCAGACAGGTCATTGGGTAGTCCAGACGGATTGCTCAAATGACTTCAACACGGGCAAGCGCACCGCCATAATGGCTCAAGCCGCAAAGAGCGTCCCAGATCTCGTGGGGTACATCGCCANTAATTCGGAGTGGCGGTAGCTGGAGGAGTTGAACAAGTTGCGATGAGCGCACAACTGGTTCATCAGACAGGTCATTGGGTAGTCCAGACGGATTGCTCAAATGACTTCAACACGGGCAAGCGCACCGCCATAATGGCTCAAGCCGCAAAGAGCGTCCCAGATCTCGTGGGGTACATCGCCAGGTGTTACGACGAAATCCCGGCAAAGGCGATATACGCGATGGACTCCGGAGAGCGTCGGACGATCGAGTGCAAGAGCGATGTGCAGCAAGGAGATGGAATGGGACCGCCCCTGTTCTACTCCATCCTAGTCCCGATCGTCTTGAAGATTTCACAGCGGTGCCATGGTACACACAGCGAGGGCTTAACACACATAGTTTCTGTGCGTACAAGGGTGGGCAGCAGCAGCACCAGCTGCAGCACAAGAAGAAACACACTTGATAGAGCCAGCCTCTTCTGGTGATGCTTTGCGATGGAGCCCCTTGTACGCTAGATGTAGGTCACAGTAGTCAGCCTCTTCTATGCACGCACAATTCTCACTGCAGTAGATACTACTGCTGCTGTAGATGGAGTCTCTCTGCTGCTTCCATTGAGTACCCCATGGAAAGCTGGGTGACAGCAGAAAGAGCCTGTTTGTTGTTGTCTGCTGGGACGAAGCAGTAACTACTATAACAGATCCCCCCCCGTGGTTTGCTTGGTTCACCTCACGCGTGGTTTGCTTGGTCCACCCAAGGGATGCGATGCTTGGTCCGCCACACGCGTGGTTTGCTTGGTTCTAACATATATTTTCTTATATTTAGAAAATGAAACAAAATCTGTATCCGCAAATGTTTGAAAATTTAGACATTTTTGCAAAGATTTGGCGACCGTAAACATGGGTCTAAGGGTCCCCGTTGCCGCGGAATATGCCGCGTTCTCGAAATGCGGCATATTCCGCCGCAGCGGCCAGCGACACGTGACACTCAACTGTTGGGAGATGTGCCAGAACTCGAGGAGCTGGCACGGGCAACGAAAGGCCTCAAGAATTGGAAGGCACCCGGCCATGACTCCCTCCCTGCCGAGTTGCTCAAGATCGATGACGATGAACCCTTCGTCCTGGGACACCTCCATACCATCCTCGTCAAGGTGTGGAACGGAGGAGATATTCCGCGAGAGTGGAAGGATGCAACCGTTAAGGTGCTGTACAAGAAAGGTGACCGGTCCAACTGTAACAACTACACAGGGGGATTTCGCTATATCTCTCGTAGGCAAGATCCCCATCAAGAAGATCATCACCAACCGTCTAAGCGCCTTCTGCGAAGCCAACAACATCCTCCCGGAGGAACAGTGCGGATTTCGACCCGGGCGATCCACCGTCGACATGCCATTCGTCGTGCGCCGCCGCCAGGAGCTGGGGCGGAGAAAGAAAATACCGCTCTACATGTGCTTCGTCGACTTGAACAAGGCGTATGATTCGGTGGATCGAGAGATGCTATGGAAGGTGCTGGCCAGGGCCGGGATTCCCGCGAAGCTGATCGAAGTCATCCGCCAATTCAACGATGGAATGCCGGCCCGGGTGCACATGGACGACGGAGAACTATCGGACTGGTTCTTCGTGACACAGCGTGCGACAAGGATGTGTGCTATCCCCACTGCTGTTCAACATCTTCTTCGCCGAGGTCCTCGAGGTCGTTGTCATTCG